AAAAATTGGCGTCTCATTTTATTCGGTGCACACCCTAAATTTAATTTTCATCTCATTTTCTAATTTTTTTGCAACTTGTTTTGTTTGCCTTTTTATTAAATAATTATTTTACCGTTATGTTATTTAAAACAAAAACCTAAATCTCAAGGATTTGCGATATCTACTAGAAAGCATCAAAGGTCTTGCCTTCACTATTAGAATTCTATAAAATCCTAACTTTGTATAAAAATTCGATGAATACCCTTAGTTATATCTTAGAAGTTTAGAGTAGTGCATAACTTGAAACCATTTTCCATGACTATTTCACTCCTTTGCTGACTGTAAAGTAGCATTTTCATTGCGTGTATATTCTCATAACTTCAAATTCAGCAATTTCGAAAACATTTGAACAAAAAAATTCAAGAGAAATGTCTTATAAAATTTATTTCTCATTTGTTGTACTATAAAGATTTATAGCAATCATCAAACTGTAATGACGTTGGCAAATAAAATTCCATTTAAAGATTTGAAAAGTAAGTATATAAATTTCTTAGTCCATAACTCTTCTCTCATTTTGGTCTGACGTTTACATAGCGAACATAGACGCTATATTGAAAGTAAATATTACAAGGTAACAGTAATTTTCCGCAAATTATCCCTTAACTCGTAATGTAAAAGAAGCAAAAATAAAATTAAAGCAAAACGTTTTAACAAAACTTGATCGACCAGTTGCAATGACAACAGTTCGACAGTTGTTAATCTGTTACTTCGTCGCATAGGTAAACCTGATCTACATAAGCGCAAGAGAGCCATCGTAACTGGCTTCCTTGATTGAAGGGGCTCGTCTCGGTCGTAGTTGATAATGGCAAGGTATACTATAAATTTATATAAATTACAACAAAAATATTTAATATCAAACTTAAGTTAGCAGAGGTTAGTTATATTACGAACGAGAAAGACAAAGCAGTGACCAGCAAACTGCTTGGATTACAAAAAGAAATTAACCAAATACGAATATAATTGCTATATACATATAAAGAGCCGTTATATTTCATTTCTGGCTCAAGTATGGTTTCCAAACTTGTACTTACTTTCAAACACGCGCATTTGGCTTTCCATGCATCGCATCTAACGTAATTGACCACAAACGAAAATCTTTACTCTTTTCTGTACAATTCAAACTATATCTGTAAATGCATTTGTAGTTGCGTGAAATAAAATCTTTTAAGCTATCCTTTTCCTCCACAGCCAATACCAGAATAAATTCCTTATGGATATCGGGGGAGATTTGCACGAAAAAGTCAAAACTAACAGCAAATAAAAAATACATCCTCCGCCCACCTACAACAACATGAAAACAGACCACAAAACCCACGAGCAAGCCTCAAAAGCGTAAACCATAAAAGATACTCCACAAAGGACATAAGAAAGGTGTATGTATGTATGAATAGATACACAGATACAGCGAAAACAGTGATGGTCAATTTAAAAGTTTCAATGTATTTCATTGTGTTTCATAATATTTTATTTCTGTTTGCTTTCTTTAATGTTATTATTGCAATTCTTGTCATATAAGACAGTCAGTTTAGTTATGCTTTTTCCTTTTACTCGCCAGCCGCTAATATCTCTCAGAAAGCGTGAAACATGCCATTCGAAACTCTTGCCGAATTGTCGGCAATGCTCACAGTTTTTTGGCATGCAGATAAAATAATAAAAACTCAAAATTGTTTTTACACGGTTTTTACTTACTGACTGCTTTAAAAAGAAAAAGTTTACGGAGGGAAAAAAAACGTACAAAAGTCAAACTGAGAATTGAAACAGCGGATTCAATAACCGCTTGATTGTCCTTGCAACTTTCTCTCCAGGCTGGCATCATTATTGCTGTTGAAGGCGATGCCAAGATAAGGAAAGTCCTTTTTCCTCATTCTTTTTCTTCTGCTAGAAGCCAGTATATATTTCGATTTGTTCTCAGTAACCGCCATACCTATTTGGATAATTTCCTCTCGATAGCCGCAAAAGCTTCGGAGACATCCTGCTTGCTACGCTCAATTAAGCTTATATCGTCGGCATAGGCAAACAGCTATACACAATCGTAAAAGATTGATGTATTGCGGCATTGGTTTCTAAAATTCGCCATTTACGATGTTTTAAGTTCGTATTAATTCTTTAAGATGAAAGAAAGCGCTAGGTCTATCTCACAGCAGCTTTGCTGCTTGCATATTAATACAATTACGCATATCTCAGAAATTTAATGTTCATTCAATGCGAAATATGTCAATTTAAAAATTCTCATAACGAAAGAATTACTCCAATAGACGGATGTTCTCGCCCAACTATTTGCTTCTACAAAATCAACGCAATAAATCAGCTTGCCAGTCGAGAAAAACGCTTTGTTGTTGTCAAATCGGTAAAGTCACAGCGTTTCTATTAAAATTTGATCCCATTCACCAATTGCAGCTGCACCAACGGATATCCAGTGGTGTCCCCTCTTATCAATTTGACTCCTCCTGTTTTCTACGCGAAGAAATATCTGGTTGGGTGCAACGACTCGATAGCAAATGAAATCGGAAATGCATGGCACGTAACGCTTACGAGGCCATGTTAAAGTACTAATAAAGCCGCAAGGAAAGCAATCGACAGTAAAACAATTCCAATAACAATGAAAAGCAGCTAGGGCTATAAAAGTGCAAAAGAATTGCAAAGGAGTAAAAATCCAACTGAAAATGAGTTAAGTTGTGTGAGGACCGGTAGAAGCGCGCCACATGCAATCCTTGGCAGCAATATTGATGAGCATACACGATGAAAATACAAACAACAACTTCAAATGTTGTACATGAGTGGCTTAAATAAAAACTATAACAATGTTAATAATAGCAATGATCATAAAAATAGTACTTAGTTGAAACTGTAGTGTTGCTCTAGCAATAGTGGTCCAGTAGTAACTACGTTTAAAAAGGGTCTATCAAGAAGAACGACGTGATCTTAAAATTAAATAAAATATTCAATTTTGGTTAAATTGGTTCTGTTTTTTTTGTTTTTTTTGTTATGCAAACAATTTTATGCTATTTACCCGGTGGATAATTTCGGCTGGAATGTCAGATATAGTGTATTGAATGTTGTCTTCGAGCTCTTCGTGCGTTTCTGGTTGATTGGAGTCAAATATCATGATTTTGGCGGCCATTTATCGAAATTAACGAGTCGCCAAACTTTTCACGCATATGTCGATGTTTAAACATTCCTATTGACGTAGGGATGAATTTGCTTTCCAGCTACGCGGCGCCGTTATTTGTTCGCAGACAACTCGTGAAACAGAAAGTGGGCTTGATCGAATGTCCAATGGTAATATTGCCAACCAAATTTGTGACCCTTTTTATACTCTTGCAACATGCTGCTACAGAGTATAATAGTTTTGTTCACCCAACGGTTATTTGTATCACCTAATACTAATAAAGGGTTATATATACATAAATGATCAGGATGAAGAGTCGCGTTGAAATCCGGGCGACTGTCTGTCCGTCCGTCCATCTGTGCAAACTGTAACTTGAGTAAAAATTAAGATATCTTTACGAAACTTGGTATACATGTTTCTTGGTACCGTAAGACGGTTGGTATTGCAGAGCACAAAACGCCAATACTCAAAAAAATAAATAAATTACCATAACTAAGCTCCACAATAAGATACAAGACTTTATTTGGTATACAGGATCACATTGCAGAGGGGCATCTGCAGATAAAAAATTTTGTTTAAAAGTGGGCATGGTCCCGCCCACTAATAAGTTAGGTGCATCTCCTAAGCCGCTAAAGCTACAATAACAAAATTCAGTAAGAATAAATGTTTTTAGCACCTCTATCGACAGTGTGAAAATGGGAGAAATCGGGTGACAAACTCGCCCACTCTCCATATAACGGTACTCTTAAAAACTACTTAAAGCGCGATAAATTAAGCACTAAACACACCAGAGACGTTAAATTTTATCTCTGGGATGGTATAAGATGACTTTATAAGAACCGCGTTCAAAATTATACAGTGCGTTTACGTGAAAATCCATATCTTGGGATCAGCTTAACCGATTCCATCCAAATTCGTTACTTCTTCTACAATTTTCTATATTATAGTGTGAAAATGAACGAAATCGAATTACAACCACGCCTATTTCCTATATAACACCATTTTAAATTCCATCTGATTCTTTCACTTTTTACTATGCAAATCAAGCAACAATGATTGTATCGGGGTAGAACTTTGCGTGAATAATGGGTTTAAAGTATGCCACTTAGTGACCAAAAATTGTCTAAATGGAACTAAAACTGCTCAAGCTCCTAGGTTCTGAATAGGTGAACCCCAGTGTCTATAGTTGACTTTTTACCGAAAATATCGGTCAATGTGTAAGATATATAATTGAAATTCATATAAAAACATAAATAAATGAAACTCGGTAATAGCATGTTTTTGTGTCAAAAATTGGTTGAATCGGATCAATAATTCCTTTAATATAAAATTTTGCCAACACCTGAGGTAAGTTCTCGAGCTTTGCTCCTTGCAAGTTGCGAGAGTATAAAATGTTTGGTTATACCCGAACTTAAAACTTCCTTACTTGTTTATATGCAACTCGTTCGTTTATTTAGTACGATTTTTATGGGCAATGCAATTAATTCGATGGCAACTAAAATTTGGTTGATTCTGCTTTATTGCTGCAATTGTTATAGCTGTTGTGCATCGCAACAAAATAGGAGATGTCAAGAGATACAGCAAAACACAAATAACTCAAAAACTATGTATTTACATTTTTCGCTGTAAATACATTGAAAACTGTTTGAATAGATACTTAGAGAAATTGTTTTTTTGATTAGGACTCTATCTCCCGAAAACTTGTTCGACCCAATACCCAGAAAAAAGTTCAATTTACCGTAGAGTGTTAAATAATATATTTCAAACAACTTTCTATAATCTAGACCTAAATCAAGTTAACTGTGAACACAAAATAGAACTAGTTAAAACTGCTCTCTAAACAAAAGAAGGAACAGGTACAGAGAGATGGACTAGCTATACTGTAGTCTCAGCTGTGATATGCTTTTGACTAGCGTTGAAAGTTCACTATATCTGAGAGAGTGCTTTCGAGTTGGCAGAGCCAAGATACCTGGTTTTCCTGAATAACCGAATGATTTAATAAAAAGATATTGAAACATTTCAAATAACGTGATTCAAAATGGGCAGCCACACCATAAAAAAAGCAACGCTTAATTATCTCTGAAAAGTTTAACTACAATAAATTTAGACTAACTATCATCGCTTAAACCATTTCAACTGTTGGCAACACCGATCGTTTTGAATGGGTATATTATATTACATAAAAAAGCTAAAAAAATGGCATGATTATAATGGCAAGCTTTTCACCTACTAATCATCCGTTTTCAAAACAATTTTTTTGTTTTCAAGATAATCCCCTCGAGTATTTTCAAGAGCCTAATATTGTCAATTTCCCTAATTTTAATCAACTTTAATCAATTTCCAATTTCTTAATCAATGGCATTCACTCATATCGAGCTCCTCACTGCCGCATTAAGCATGTTTGCTGCTCTCAAATTTCAAAAACACTCCACAAAAATTAGCTGCCAACTTGATACGCACACGCCGTGTTGATTGAGAGGGTTTTTGTTTAATATTGGCGTTGTTGCAGCACAGTATGGTTTGTTGACTCGGTTGACAAACTTATTGACAGACAAGTTGTCAGCAAAACTTGTTTTGCTAACTAGCTTATGTTTTTTCTCGGTTTCCCTGCAATTTTTGTGCAGGATTAACTGTAAGGGTTTTTGGCACTCAACTGACACGTTGCAAAATACTAATGACAACAACAGCATAAATTTAGCTACCTATTGCTAGCACTACGTGTGCAATCAACGAGCAATCAATCAAATCCATCAGTAGCAGTTATCATGGAAATCTGCTGCAATTCGTACAACAACAACACATTTATATACGTATACTTAACTACATATAAGATTAGAAATAATTTTTTTTTAATTTTTGCACCCACCACAGGCTATGCGTAAACTGACTCCGTACGTTCCCTGGTACTTGATATTTACTACTATGACACTATTGGCAACAGCCTCGCCTATATCATTTCCTTTCATTTCACCTTAGTGTGTGTGTGTGTGTGCTATGCAATGCTATAAGCCACACGTCGGCTTCGTATTTAAAACGGCACTTAATCGCCTGTTTATCCTTTACAAATCCTATCAATGTCATCGATGGCCCTTCATATGCAACGCAAACACGAAAAATCAACAGAAATTCAAAATATACGCTCACACATGTATATTGTATGCACGCGTGTATATTCCCTGCAGAAAAATTAACTACTTAATACAAGGATTGTTCTCAAGCAAGATGATTCTTAAACTTCATTTACCCAGAACAAATGTATAACATTTGCGGATAAGCTTGTAACAAGCAGAAACGTCGGACACCGTATATATTATATTATATATTAATAAATATTGCGAGATGAGTCGGTTTAGCCATGCCCGTTTGTATGTCCGTCCCTAAGTCCCTAAGTTCATGAGATATCAATCTGAAATATTTCATACGTATTTTTCTCCCTGCTGCTCATTTGCCGGAACCACTATATCATATAGCTGCCATACAAACTGACCGATCAAAATCAAGATAAAGATACTTGTATTCTTAAAAGATTTATTTTTTTTATTAAGTTACTTTCATTCACCTTGTACGTTGTTAATATCAAACAACGTGGTTGGAAAGAACTATCAAACCGTTGTCTGGTTACGTTTTCAGATTTACCTATACATACCATACATATATTTGCTACAAGTAATGCACCGGCAGAGGGTAGTATAACTTCGGTGTAGTAAACGTTTTTATAATTTGTATAAGTACATTTTCTCCAAACCTTAATCGGTCATCATATTCACCTAACCTAAAACTCAATATAAAACCTGTGTAGTATTCTTAAGTGAAAACTTTAATATTGCTGTGGCTTTCGGTGTTCAATGGTAATTAGCTCAAAATAATTATTATAATAAACCTAACTTCAATGACACCAATACAAACAGACTGTTCTAAATGCAAAATGCATTCTACAAACTTCGCCTTCACGATCCACTTTTCCTACTGGGCAATTGTGCTAGACAAAACCAACAAATTCTATACGACAAATGAAGCGGAAATAACACACAGCACACGACAACAAAAGCAAAAATAACAGAAAAATATAAACAGCAAATGCAATTTACAACTGCATGTGAAGCAATCCGACACGTACTCAAGCAATAGACAGAATTGTGCAAACTCGTTTGTGCAAACAGCCTGCCGAGCGACATTTTCAATCTCACTTTGACACAATTCCACTCTTAAATTAGCCCTACATTTGTGCACATCAGACTATGGGAAATTCGCAATATCCCTAAGTATGCGTGCACGCGCGAGTCAGTGTGTGTGTTTGTATGTGATGAATGGCACTCGAAAATCCAATAAATCAAGGACATTATTGGCAACCCTCCAGTATTACACAATGCCAGCAAAACATTATTTGTAGTACATTGATCAGCATTTTTGTTTTCATTGTTGTTGTGACAATATGCTTATATGAGGTGTCACGGTGGACCGGTGGTCGTGCAATTGTGAAAATGCCACATTTCATTTCAATTAATCTTTGCTTTCGTTATGAGCAGTTTATTTGATCTGAACGTTAACGCGTGCAGGCGGGCAGCGCAAGCGTTTTCATACAACTGATGCGCAATGCCCACACTTACACGTAATGACAGACACGGCATGGATACCTATACGGTTGCATATGTGCCAATATTTATGGTTACATATACGTTATGTGTTTGCAGAAGTCCACTTTTCACTTCTGTGGCAATGCGACACTTTCTATTGATATTTACTGTTATCTTAATATCTCGCTTCGGGGTTCTTCTCGTGTATTTGTGTCTTAGTTCCCAAGCG